ATAATAATAATAATAATAATAATAATAATAATAATAATGTTATTATTATTATTATTATTATTCAATGAGACTAACTAAAAATTAATTGCGTTGTGTTATGACAAATGCTCGTTTGGATAGCCTAATGATGCTTGCAATACATCGTGATAAGTGAAGTAACCTCGACCTTGACAGCTGGTTGACAGATTTCATGCCAAATTTCCAAAATGTAGAATTTCACTTTCAAGAATGAATCAGATGGTTACATTGCATCTTTTTGTTTCTTGCTTTATTTCAAATGTTTTGGTTTTGGAAGCTGATTTCGACATTAAAACATAGCCTACATAAAGTCATATTGTAGTAACTCGATGCCTATCAAATAAGTAATACAAAATCGCCATAATTCGTCAAATATCTGTGGCTTCCCGGGAGATTCGCCCCCCCCCCCTGGCCCCCAGCTAAGTGAGATCGATTTTCTCCACTAGCGTCCCGTCGGGACATTTAGCCCCTCTGTCGGGCAGGTCCTGGCGCCATCATCACTGATTGTGATACTCAATAAAGTTCGACCCACTCTAAGAAACAAAAATATTATACTCACTGATCATGATAAGGGATATTAAGTTGAGACAAGCTGTTGGAACATTACAGTTTTGAAGAAAAGGAGCCAAAACGTATTCTGAAAACGTTAGCGCGACAACAGCAACGCCTGCCGGAAACAGTACGAGGAACGAAAGCCATTGAAAAACGAACGCCGGGAAGTTACCGTAAATTTTTTGAAGATACAGATACTCACCACCGAACTTAGGCATCGCTAATGCAAGCTCGACCCAACACAAATCTGTGAAAAGGGCCGTTATTCCACATATTATCCATACAAAGAATGATATTCCAACTGACCCGACATTTTGATATACACCTTTAGGAGATATGAATATCCCAGATCCGATTATTGTGCATATAGTTATTGATATGGCATTCAGAAGACCAAGCTGTGGCTCAATTCGATGAAGTCTTGGCTCATTCCTTGCCATTGTGCGTCGCTGTTGTCGTCTGACGAATATCTCAGGAAGTCAAATAATACAATAGTTTTACGGTATCATTAAATGCAAATTCAGGCTTGACTGTATTACGAGGTCTAATGCGCAGTTGGTACGTGTATGATTGTGAACTTCCTTTACAATGTTATACTACTACTACTTTATAATATAATAATAATAATAATAATAATAATATTATTAATAATAATAATAATAGTAATAATAATAATAGTAATAATAATAATAATAATTAATAATAATAATGATAATATTAATAATTAATAATTATTTCCTTTTGATAACAATTTTCATTTTTTAAAAATATTTAATCATATTATAATACATGTAAACGTATATGTAACTCAGTCTTATTGTCTTTGTCATTTGAATTGCTTAAAGAAAAAAATGTGGGGAGGGAGAAAAGAGGAAGAAAGGAAAAAAGAAATGAAAGTCGAAGGAAAGAAAGAAATAATTATTATTGTTGGACACGAATACTCACACGAAGTCATATAATACGATAGTTTTACGCTCTCATTAATTTTTTTTTTTTATTCATAGAGTACGTAGATATATCCTTTGCGAACATTTTAAAGAAAAAAATATGTTGACACGACCCTCCGTTAAAGGATATATGATATTTTGAGTAAAATGACCTCCGAAAATATGGCCGAAACGTCTTAGCATTGTTTGTCATCGATCGAAGATGTCTACCGCAGCGTGAAAAAGGCCTATTCTGTGTGTCGCGGAAGAAAAACTTTTCTTGCGATCTATGCCTTAATGTCTGCGCGTTCTGATTGGCTTAGAACTCTATAAGAAATGTATTATAAACAAAGATCTTTGTATAAACATTGGCCGTATTCGACAGCTAGTTCTTCGTTAAAAAACGCCCACCTGCGCAGTGATGAATTCCTACTTAATTAAGAAGACGACCAGTCGAATAGAAAACTGATAAAAACTCGGCAAAACAAAATGCTGCATAGTTACTGAGATACACGCTGCATAATCAAAATTGCATCCTCTTGTGGCCGTATAGGTTTTATTTAATGAAATGTTTTCATTCAGTTTTTTAATTCTGTTAGACTAGGACTCTTCAATTAGTTCTGAATATTTTTATTCTTCTTATGTTGTTTTTTTATTTGATCGTAATAGACATGGGGGTGGGGGTACTAATCGCATGCAAGCATTATTTAAAACCGTGTTTGATTTCTGGCGATCCTAGTTCTTCTCTTGAAATGGTTTGGGTTGAAGTTATTTTAAAACGTGGAAAGTCTTTGCTGGGTTGTGTCTATAGGCCCCCATCTACTACGGTAATCAATGCTTTTTCAATTAAAGTGCTTTAGAAAATGTATTTTTTTATGTCTCACAATTACAAAACAATTATTATTGCTGGGGATTTCAATATCCCATTTAATTTGGATTTAACTGGCAGGCTTCACAGTTGATATCTGTCACTGACACATTGAACCTGGTCCAACTTGTAAATTTTGTTACACGTAGGTTAAGACCTAATGACATTGCAAGTGCTGGTAATATTCTGGATTTGTTATTTTGTAACAGACCTGAGTTTATTACTGATATATCCTCTTTACCTCCTAATGGAACAAGTGATCATGAATGTATTCATTTTCACCTTTCTTGTAAGAGTCATTTCTCGTCAGTGTCCCGACCTGTTTTTGCATATTCGGAAATTGATTTCAACTTATTCCACCGTAGGTTTTTTGACTCCTGTCTTGTTGAAGGGGATATTAACCCGACCAGGGTTCGTTTTCAGAGCATGTTCAATCTTGTTGTCCGCGACGTTATCCCCAAAGTAATTATTCGAGGGAGGAAAAATCCTCCATGGATTACACCCAAGTTAATTAAGCTATCTAGGAGAAAACATAGGCTTTACAAAAAGGCACTGAGACATAAAGATAATCCTAGAAAGTGGGAATTATACAAGCTGTGCAGAAACAAAGTTAGGTCACTGTCGAGAAAAGCGTATAATGATGTTAAACATGTATCTGATGAGTATAAATATAATTGTAAAAGTTTTTGGGCATTTCTTAACTCAACTCGTAGAACTGACCCTCCCAGAAGCTTTGTTCTGGATAAATCAACTTTCTGTGGTGATTCTGATTTGCCTCTGCTTTCAACAATTATTTTTGTAATAATTTTACTGAGGATGATCAAACATCAGTTCTCAGTGCACCGATTTTTGATCAGTATATTAATAAGATCTGTGTCATCAGCACTACTGAGGGAGAGGTATATAAACTCTTGTCCACAATTCCATCTCGCAAATCCTCTGGTCCTGATCTTATCACCCCTAATATGATTAAATTAGCCTCTCCATATATCTCTTC